GATCTCAGGCCTATTTCCCTGACCCCCTGCATCTCTAAGGTGGCAGAGGAATTCATTGTTGAGGATTATGTTAAACCGGCAATTCTAGACATAATCGATGCTAGTCAATATGGAGCGATTCCAAACTCGTCAACCACTATGGCGTTAATTAGTATGCTGCATCACTGGTTTATAAACACTGACGGGAATGGGGCAACAATAAGGACAATATTGTTTGATTATCGCAAGGCATTCGATTTTATCGACCATACAATTCTTGTAAAGAAACTGGGTAATTTGAACATAGCTAGAAGTATAATTAACTGGATAATAGATTTTCTTTCTCATAGAACGCAGAGAGTAAAATTGGCCGATAGCTGTTTTTCTGAGTGGGGCCTTGTTCCGTCTGGTGTACCGCAAGGTACAAAGCTAGGTCCATGGTTATTTATTTTAATGATCCAAGACCTGAATATTAATTCCCCATACCTGTGGAAGTTCGTGGATGATACCACAGCATCGGAAATTCTTCCCAAAGGCAATGTTAGTACAGCCCAAAACATAGCAGATCATATTAAGCAATGGTCAGAAGAAAATAGATTAAAGCTACATCCAGACAAATGTAAAGAATTGAGAATTTCTTTTAGTAAGGACCCAGTTGTTCTAGATCAAGTCATACTCAATGGTAAAGAAGTCGAAATAGTCGAAAGTGCTAAATTATTGGGAGTAACAATAAGTAACAATCTAACTTGGCATGCCCATATAAAAGAGGTCGTCAAAAAAGCCAGTAAAAGACTATATTATCTGGTTCAATTAAAAAGAGCTAGGTTACCAGTTAAAGATCTTGTGTTATTCTATACGTCTTGCGTTAGATCTGTCATGGATTACGCAGTACCAGCTTTTTATCACTCCCTTCCACAATACTTAAAGAACGAATTTATTCGACTGGAAAAAAGGGCTATTTCAACAATAAATCCAGGAATGGACTACTCTGCAACAGGAGAAATTTTGAACATCAAACCAATAGAAGAACACCATAATTTCTTATGCAGAAATTTGTTTGATAATGTTACAAAGGATTCAAACCACAAACTTTATGACCTCCTCCCACAGAAACATAACTGGCACCACGATCTCAGAAATGGTCATCAATTTGACATTCCTCATTTTAATACTAATCGTACTAAAAACTCTTTTATATTTGCGATGGCATCGAAGATGTCTTCATAACGTTAGTGGTATCTTTTTTATTATCATCCTAGTAAAATTTTAAATATTTGCATAATTTTAACTTAATAATTATAATAGTAATTAAATAATAATTCGTATTTTGTAAACTTTACGTAATTCAGCCTTTGGCTGCAATGTAAATGTTTTATTAAACTATCTATCTATCTATCTATCTATCTATCTTATCATGTGCCGAACTTAATTGATGAATTAGGTACGGCAGAAGAGCGACGTATGAATTAATTAAGTACGGCAGAATTTGGAACGGCAAAAGTTCGACACAAGTTCGGCAGAGCTTGTCGCATTATGCGACGTTGGAGCGACATTGATCACTACGCCGCTCCACTCATGTGCCAAACTTAACTCAACTTTAGTCTAAAAATAAACTTATTTAATAGTTTATATAATGTCAATGACATTGTATTTGGTACGCCGTTTGAATCACTACCGTTCTTGTGTCGCATCTAATACAATTAAGTTCGGCACATGAAGAGTACGCCGTCTGAAACGGGCCTAGGTCTCCAACCTTGAAATAGTTTTTCGAGACAACCCAGAAACAAACTGTGTAACTTATTGTAGATTAGTAGATACAATGGACACCCATGTTTAAAAAACAAAACCATCGGCACTAATGTTAATTATTTTTGTTATATAATTGCTTTGTACTCGAGGGTACATAAATAGAAATGAGAGAATTTAATTAAGTTTCTTCCTGATATATCAACATTTTCTGAAGCTGAACAACGTCCCATATCATACTTCCTGAAAGCGGGCAATATCTACCCTCGTTACTCACCCTCATTTTGTCCTTGAGCACGCTGAAAAATATATGCAAAATGTGAGAATATGGATTGATAGATTGACAAGATTATTGAAGAGCTTAGGAAAGCAACGATTTTGACAACATGTGCTGCAAGTGGAGTCAATCAAGCCTTGATTGATAGGAGTGATGGCGATTGTCATTCGTTTTTTGAAACTATATTGGCTGCTGCTCCAGGTTTCAAACAACAGCTGCTGACGCTATGATTGACATCCGGTTGCCGATTCTGTTGCCAAACACGTCGCTCGCCTTAGCTCAGGGCAAGTCAAGCAAGGAACAACGCTCTCCTGAACATTACAATTTGCAACATTTGTCTCAAATGTCCATTACTATATTTGCATTTTCCCAGTCGTCTTGAAAATTTCCTCCTGCAAATTCTTTTGAAATTTTGCATAAAAAGTAACACTGCTTTTAAAATTTAAAAACCATCGAGAAACACGATTATGAAAATTTCCTTTGGTATAGACTTTTAAGAGAAGTTTTTGAACACTTATTAAGCCGTTATTTTAAGCAATATGCAAAGTTAGAAAAAGATGTACAGAGGAAAGCGAAAGAAATTTAGCATTGATTTTGGCATTTCTTCTAGATCTGACGTGATAGAAGTGAATTCTTTCTGATCTTAAACCGAAAATTGGCTAGAAAAAAACTCAGTGACCCGGCTTTTTAAACACGTTCAGTTGCAAAACTCTGCTGACATAAGACTTCAGTTTCCAAGCAAATGTTAAAATTGAACATATTAAACGGACATTGGACAACTTAAAAGCACCGGATAAGTTAAGTGCCACATGATAAATCGCACATGGAGAAACTACATATGCCATGTTTGATCATAAGCACATCAATCTTCCATGCCTGACTAGCAAATCATCCCAGAGCGTGTTGAATTGTTAAATTGCAGCTAAACTGGAATCTGTATTGTTTTCAAGGTAACGAAGCTGGAAACGACATTGAACGTATTTTACTGTAAACAAATTACTTATCTTTCCCGTACTAGTTCCTAGTACGTTCTGTTTTGAATGTCAGTATCATTTCGTTTTCATTACACTATTAATTCTGTTTCTGCGCATATTACTACGCATATCTTAATTAAATCTGCTTCCAGAACTCCTCATGTGAACACCGCGGAAAAACGTCTGCGCATGCACCAAATTATGAAAATATGGCGGGGAATTTGAATATCAATTTCTAAAACAAAAACATGCTTATTAATTGGTCAAAAATTAGTAAAACAAACGAGAAAATATAGCAAATGGGTAGACTAGACATTAATTGAAAGCGTCCTGGCATTTAAAGTATGGAATGAAATATAATTCATGTAAAAAATTGTTGATTTTAACGGACACGACTTCGAAAATTTTTGCAAAATTATTCAAAACAAAAATTCAAACTCAAAAGTTAAGAAAACTCTCGAAAAGTTAAGCTTCTTAACCCACTCAAATTGTAGAATAAATCCTAAAGTTTAATTATTGTGAACACGAAAATTTTTTATATTTGGCGACACAGTTTTTTTTAAAGAAATGTATCTCAAACGAAAATTCGGAAATTGTCGTTGCTTAGTTGATAAACAAAATGTTTGAGACGATAAATTTGTCAACAATCACCTTTAGTTCATATTCTTGTACAATACAATTTCTTGAACCTTCTGGCTGTATTTATTCCTAGTCTTTAGAATGTCATGTTTATTTCTGCGCTCGAAATCTGGCTGTAAAGACGCACAATGAAGTCACTCCTTTTTACCGCCATTTTGAGCCTTCGGAAACGTTCGGAACAGCTTCTCATCAAGTTCGCAATACTATTACAGGTAAGGTTGACGCGTGCGCAGACGTTTTTCCGCGGTGTTCCTCATGTGTGTGTGCGTGTGTACTAATTCGTCCTAACTCAAGAAAAACCCAATGACGTGAAAACGTTTTTACTATTTAGGCCTATATTTATATTTATATTGCGGAAATATGAATTAAAATTATTCATAATCAGGTACAGTATGTAGTTCAATTTGCAAACTTTGCTACGCCATATTATTGTTACTTTAAAATGATTTATTAATTTTGACGAGCTCTTTTCAGATATTCCTGTTGTGTTTTCATTTTGTTTTGTATGAAGTAAAACTGATGGGAAGATTACAAGATCTATTGCATTCTCTTTTTATGGCATCGAAAATATGCCGTCCAGGAGTAATATCCGTGCACAAAATATTTTCCTCTTTAACGGTATTCGTTTAATTTTGTGAAGTATAAAGGTATTCCTGAAACTGTCATTAAATTCAATGTCGTTCCAAGCAAGCCGCAATGGTGGCTTAAAATAATTAATGTGCAAATATTACATACCTGATCTATGACTGTGGGTAGTGCTGTAAATAAATAAACAAAATAAGTAAATAACCTCAACATTACCAACTTTGTATGTACTGGATGACTCTATCAGTTCTACAGTGAACTGTTCTTCCCAGATGTCCAGTAAGGATTAACTCTTATTGATCCAGTTTTACTCCAAGAGAAAAGCTAAACTGAACTAGCTTTGTTGATAGTTGATTACTAATTGTAGTAATCAAACAATCTTTATAGTTATATATTTTCCTTTACTGACTTACTAGATACAAACTCTATGTTTTCTCCTTCCCGCCCTAATTACATGTATTCTTATTTTTCCCGCGCATTATAATTTATTTTATAAATTATGTATATCTGTCAATCACTACATTGTTCTCTTTTTTCTAACAAAACTCAACGGAATAACTATGATTTGTTCGTTATTGTCCATATCATACTAAAGTTCTATGAAATATGTCCCGGTGGTATTGAGTGACCAAATCTATTTACAGGTCGTTGATTTCTCGTTGATCTTCTTGCTATCGTTTGACTTTCTTCCATGAAGTCCTGCATATCATCTCCAATCCTGTACATCTTCCACGGTAGTTGTCTTCTTTTCATCACTTCTTTGTTCGTCTACAGGTTTAACTACTTTGAAATAAGTCACATTACGCGTGATGGTGCGGCTGCCATTTCGTGCCGTAGCTGTTTCGCCTTTCCTCTCCACGATCGGGATTGAATCTTGGAGATAACTTGTTGTTTGGCTTCTGTTTACAAACAACAATGTCCCCTTCCTTGATCTTGGATGTCTTGGTGTTTTTCTTAGCATCGTAGTACTGCTTATTACTGATCTTCTTCTTGTCGATGTTTTCGTTGGCCTTTCGGTGCTTGTTTACGACATTTTGTGTTGACAACTCGGGTCGATTTTCTTGCACCTTTCGATTAAATAGTAGTTCACATGGAGGTATCTTTGTGGTGGCATGCGGTGTTGAGCGGTAGTTTAATAGAAATCTTTGAAGTTCTTGTCTCCAATTCTTTCTCTCTAACATGGAAGTTTTTATCACTTTCCCTAACGCCTTCATCACACTTTCGGCACTTCCCTTGCTTTGGGGGCACAACGGACTGCTTGTTTTCCACTCAATTCCTAAATTAAGCAGCCATGTATCTTTTAAAATGATTCCCATTAAAAGGTGAAAGTACTGTGCTGAATGGTTATATTACTACCTTAAAAAATAAGCAGAAACTCAACGTTTCCAGCGAAGGCCCTTCGTCAAGAGCTATATATTCTTGATGAAGGGCCTTTGCTCGAAACGTCAAGTTTCTGCTTATTTTTTAAGGTAGTAATATAAACACTCAGCACAGCATTTTCACATTGGTACTACCACACTGGTACAGACAGTTTTACCATCAAAAGGTGGTCCATTATCAGTTTTAATCATTTTCTGTACACCATGAGTTGTAAATATGCGGTCTAACTTCGGGATGCAGCCTTTCGCTCAAGTTGACGTAACAATCTCTACTTCTGAAAACTTAGAGTATGTGTCAGTTACGACAAGTAAAACCCTATTTTTTTACATGTTTGATCTATATTATCTCTGGAAGTATTTGTCCGAAGCGAATATTTTGGTTGTACTTTTGCATAATTTGACGCTGGATTTTGGGTCGCTTTTGTTCTCCACAGTATAAACATAATCTTTCTACTAAGAACTTGTCTCCGTTGCTCTCCGTCGATAAAAGTTTAGTTTGCCATTTTATTGCATTACATTTTAAAAAATCCATTTCCTAATTAGAATTATTCGCCTTCGATCGAACAACTTCTGCACAAAAACTAATCTAAAATTAAATGACAAACTAACTAACAAAAATTTAACTAAAACTAACAGCTGAATAAAAACTAAACTAAAACCAAAAAACAAACAAACTACTAAAAACTTAACTAAACTAACTGAAAAATCAATTGCTTAACAAAAACTAAACTAAAACTAAGTGCAAAATTAATTGCTCAACTAAAACTAAACTTAAACTAAATGAAAAACGAATTGCTGAAAAAAACTAGACTAAAACTAAATAAAAAAGCTTTGACTAAACAACACTAGTGGGTTGCTATCAATAATTACAATTGATATATGCAATATATTTATGTAAATCAAATTTGTATAAAATATTAAAATCGAGTCAAGTCAGTATGTAAACAAACCAACTGATGCGTTTTGTAGAGGCTATATAAAATTTAATGTGCTTAGTCATCATTGTTCTGGTTCGTTATGCTTTTAAAAGGATACAGATTAGAGTTTCAGTTTAAGCAAAACATTAATGTTAATATCCGTACATGTTTAACGCGGAATATTAATGTTAATATTCAGAGTTATATATTTTTAATAAGTAACACTTTTTGTTTGGGGAAACACCGCGTAAATTTATTTCTGCATGCAAAGCTTTCGATCCGTAAGGCCAGATCTTCATCAGTGCTAATAATATTTTTATACATATTATTAGCACTGATGAAGATCCCGGCTTGCGGATTGAAAGCTTTGCAGTAGTAAATTTACGTGGTGTTTCCACAAACAAAAAGTGTTATATATTTTATCGCCATGCAATTATACAATGAACTTATAACATATATATTTGTCCCATTGTCAATTGCAACCCCCCCCGTCCCCCCCCCCCAACCTCGGGGAAATGTGGAGACATAGATTTTTAATATATCAATACTTAACTATTGCCCGACCCCCTGAGGCGGGTTGACCTGACTAATTTTGTCCAATCCCCCAACCCATGTGGACAAATTTTGAAATGTTTTATTGAACAAAATATTTATTTTCAAAATAAAAGTAATATTACACACGCAGGATATTCAAATCTAAATCCGTATATGTAAATTAAATAGTGTATATGTCCGTGTCAGGCAACTATTCTGCGAGAAAATAAATTCACAACTGAACTGCATGTAAAACTATTTTGTCACCATAAAGTGAAACATACAGGGGCCGGTTGTATAAAAACGTAATTAGCGCTAACTGTAGTTAGCGACTTAGTAACCTGAGTATCAGGCCGTACTTTTTAGGGCACAGGCACGCCTGATCGTGGGCGAAAGGGAGAAAAGTACGGCCTGACACAAAAGTGGCATTTTGCCTGGTTGTTCAGTCCAGAATCTGGACTGAGCGCTGATTGGCCGGTTAGACAAACGATTTTTAAATCTGTCATTTGATTGGCTGGTGCTAATTAAATTATACTATTGTTGTTGATATATTTTATAACGATCACATTCACAACTACAATTATAGCCGGCCCACTAAACGGCTGAATTTAAATTAAAACTGCAGTAAAATTAGAAAATAATCGCAAATTAGCGAAATATATTGCAAATGTAACTTATATTAAATCGCCATCAGATTGCACTATCGACTGACGTATAGTTATAAAGTATACTTAATATATATACTTTATAATTATACGTCACTGTTTGTTGATAAATACGGCAAGCGCCATGTAAAGCTCATTGTAGTCACTGAAACCGCTGCGGAGGAGAGAGCAATCGGGTGGCGATTTAATATAAGCCAGGGGCGTAGGAAGCGGGGGGGCACGGGGGGCACGTGCCCCCCCAAATTTTTTTAAAGGACTAAAAGTGCCCTTTTTTGTGATAAAAAGTGCCCTTTTTGTGTTGAAAAGTGCCCTTTTTTGTGAGGAAAAGTGCCCCTTTTGTAGAAGCTAATGTCGCTGTAAATACTAAATTAAAACAATAGGTGCCGTTTTTGTGTGGAAATTTACAAATTTTTTTTAAAAATTAGGTCACAAACATAAATTTCGGTATGATACGACGGAAAATTTTCCTCAGGAGAAATTTCTCCCCCCTCCCCCGTCGACAACATTTCCGGGAAAAATTTTTTAGGTGCCCTTTCCGATAGTAATGTGCCCCTACAAGCCGGTGCCCCCCCAAACTCCAGGTGCTTCCTACGCCCCTGATATAAGCTACATTTGCAATATATTTCGCTAATTTGTGATTATTTTTGTTAATTTTATAAGTTCACTGCAGTTTTAATTTAAATTCAGCAGTTTAGTGGGCGCCTATGCTATAATTAGATTGTTGTTGTCGTTGTGTGAAATTTAAATTTCTCCTGCAACATTTTGATTGGATACTAAATATAAACTTTGCTGTGGGCGGAAAGCGATCAGGTTAAGTTTTGTGTCAGGCTCTATTTGTAAAATAGAGCCTGATACTCAGGTCAGCGACTTAGCGTTAATCACTGTAGTTAAATCCTTAACTGTAATTAGTTAACTACATGACTTAACTGTGTTGCACAAAACGTAGTTAGTCGGATAGTTAACTAATCACGTAGTTAACTGTGCGTGGGGCTTGCGTGGGGCGTTTAAACACAAAATTACATAAAGTAAGCAGCGAATAACGACCGCTGACACACATTTTTAACATGATTGTGCACTCGATTTTGCAAATAGGCGGGAATTTTATTCAAAACGCTAGAAAAACAATGAAAAATATACAAGAAAACAAAGAAAAACCGCCACAAAAATCATAAAAGAATGCAGTTTTTCCTTGAGATGCCTACGTTAAACCAAGGTATAGCTGTTTGGCAATTATATATCAGTGTTTCTTGGTGTAATGGACCATACTTCGTCTTCGAGAAATCGTCCTGTGCAAAAATATGTTCTGTTTTCGTAAAAACACCAAACCGATAGCGTTTGAAGAGTTTATATTGTCAGGAAACATTCACAGGGAAGATAACGATTGAAAATCTCAGGTAACCGTTGCTTTTCATTTTGGGTCGCTTTTGTTCTCCACGGTATAAACATAATCTTTCTAAGAACTTGTCTCCGTTGCTCTCCGTCGATAAAAGTTTAGTTTGCCATTTTATTGCATTACATTTTAAAAAATCCATTTCCTAATTAGAATTATTCGCCTTCGATCGAACAACTTCTGAACAAAAACTAATCTAAAATTAAATGACAAACTAACTAACAAAAATTTAACTAAAACTAACAGCTGAATAAAAACTAAACTAAAACCAAAAAACAAACAAACTACTAAAAACTTAACTAAACTAACTGAAAAATCAATTGCTTAACAAAAACTAAACTAAAACTAAGTGCAAAATTAATTGCTCAACTAAAACTAAACTTAAACTAAATGAAAAACGAATTGCTGAAAAAAACTAGACTAAAACTAAATAAAAAAGCTTTGACTAAACAACACTAGTGGGTTGCTATCAATAATTACAATTGATATATGCAATATATTTATGAAATCAAATTTGTATAAAATATTAAAATCGAGTCAAGTCAGTATGTAAACAAACCAACTGATGCGTTTTGTAGAGGCTATATAAAATTTAATGTGCTTAGTCATCATTGTTCTGGTTCGTTATGCTTTTAAAAGGATACAGATTAGAGTTTCAGTTTAAGCAAAACATTAATGTTAATATCCGTACATGTTTAACACGGAATATTAATGTTAATATTCAGAGTTATATATTTTTAATAAGTAACACTTTTTGTTTGGGGAAACACCGCGTAAATTTATTTCTGCACGCAAAGCTTTCGATCCGTAAGGCCAGATCTTCATCAGTGCTAATAATATTTTTATACATATTATTAGCACTGATGAAGATCCCGGCTTACGGATTGAAAGCTTTGCAGTAGTAAATTTACGTGGTGTTTCCACAAACAAAAAGTGTTATATATTTTATCGCCATGCAATTATACAATGAACTTATAACATATATATTTGTCCCATTGTCAATTGCAACCCCCACCCTCCCCCCTTCCCAACCTCGGGGAAATGTGGAGACATAGATTTTTAATATATCAATACTTAACTATTGCCCGACCCCCTGAGGCGGGTTGACCTGACTAATCTTGTCCAATCCCCCACCCATGTGGACAAATTTTGAAATGTTTTATTGAACAAAATATTTATTTTCAAAATAAAAGTAATATTACACACGCAGGATATTCAAATCTAAATCCGTATATGTAAATTAAATAGTGTATATGTCCGTGTCAGGCAACTATTCTGCGAGAAAATAAATTCACAACTGAACTGCATGTAAAACTATTTTGTCACCATAAAGTGAAACATACAGGGGCCGGTTGTATAAAAACGTAATTAGCGCTAACTGTAGTTAGCGACTTAGCGTTAATCACTGTAGTTAAATCCTTAACTGTAATT